CATAGAGATCCGCCTGCCTCTGCCTCCTGAGTGTTGGGATTAAAGGCATGCACCACCACGCCCAGCTAAGCTGTTCTTTTTTTAAGACCCAGTCTCACTAGTAGCTCTGACCAGAACTATGTAGCTCAGGCTGGCCTCAAACTCACAGAGATCCACCTGCCTCTGCCTCTACCTCCCAGGTGCTGGGATTAAAGGTGTGCACCACCAATTCACCCTCTTTTTTTCTATTTGGTTTTTGAGACAGGGTCTTGTTGTGTAGCCCAGGCTGACCTGAAACACTCTATACAACACAGGCTATACAACACAACTCTCTTGTCTCAATCTCCTAAAGATAGAATTGCAGAAGCCACCAATCCCAGCTCTTCTGTTTCTTGGATTTGGCTTTTGTTTTGGCGTGTGGGGCTAGGGGATATAAGTACACTTGTGTGTGAATGTGTGAGTGTGAACCAAAGGACAACCTCAGGTGTTGTTTCAGGTACCATCCACCTTTTTTTCTTTTTTTGAGAATGGGGTCTTTTTGCTGGTTTGGAACTCACCAAGTAGGCACCAGGGATCCTCCTTTTTCCAACTCCCCAGCACTGGGATTCCAAGTACATGCCATCTCACCTGGCTATTTTACATGGGTTCTGGGAATTGAAGTCAGGTCCTTAATGCTTGCAAGGTAAGCATTTTACTGCCTGAGCCATCTCCCCAGGCCATTGTTTGCAATGTTGGAAGATGAAATCCAGGGCCTTGAACATGCTAGACAAGTGCTCAGTGCTGTGTCATTTCTGTTTTTTATACTGACACTTGTCTAGGATGATTTCATCTAGAAATCCTTTACATAATTACTCAAGCAAAGACCCTTTCCTAATAAGGTCACATTCATAGGTTTCTGTGGGCACAGGTATGGGAACCATCATTCAGCCCATTTTTGGCAGGAATCCTGCCTTGTGCTTATCTCTCTGATATGATCCTTAACGTGCAGATGAAGGAAACCTCAGCCTCAGGTTGTCAGGTCCAGTGCAGGTGTGGCTTCTGGGAACCCCTTATAATAAGTTGGAGGCAGAGTGTCTGAGATGGCAGAAGCACCCCATTTCCATAGTTCTTCACTCTAGAGCACCATGGCCAGCTGTTTTGCTTCTCTAGTACCCTACTTAAAGCCTCTATCCAGATGGGCATCTCAGCATGACGTAGGCCAGTGGAGTGATTGCCATCTCCAGTCTTCCCAAGATGGGGCTTTATATATCTTAAACTGAGTTTGAACTTGCTGTGTAGTCTCAGTTGAACTTGAACTTCTGATCCTCCTGCCTCTACTTCCTGAGTGCTGGTATTACAGGCATGTGCTACCACTCCTGGTTTTATGTAGTGCTGGGTATCTAACCCAGGCCTTTGTTAATGCTAGGCAAGCAGTCTACCAATGGAGCTATATCCCTGGCCCCAGAGTGAGGATGACTTTTTTTAAAAAATTATTTAGTGGCTGGAAAGTTGTCTTAGCAGTTAAGAGCACTGGCTGCTCCTGCAGAGGACCAAGGTTCAGTTCCCAGCACCCACGTAGAGGCTGACAACCATCCCTAACTCCAGTTCCAGGGGATCTGACACCCTCTTCTGACCTCCATAGGCATTGCATGACACTGAAGTTATTTATTTTTATTTTATGTGTATGTGTATTTTATTTTATGTGTTTTGCCTGCATTTATGTACATACATCTGTGTCATGCAATGCCCACAGAAGCCAGAAGATGATGTCAGATCCCCTGGAACTGGAGTTAAAGACAGTTGTTAGCTGTCACGTATGTACAGGGAACTGAACCCAGGTCTTCTGCAAGAGCAGCCAATGCTCTTAATTACCAAGCCATCTCTCCAGCCTGGGTGATAACTTTTAATCACACATTTCCTTGTTTGGCTTTTAAAGAAATTGTTTATGCACATCTTTAATCCCGGTACTTGGGAAGCAGAGGCAGGTGGATCTCTGTGTGTTCAAGGTCAGTCTGGTCTACATAGCAGTTCCAGGCCAGCTGGGACTACAGGGAGACTGTCTCAAAAAGACCTCCCCCCCAAATTAAATTAAATTAAAAAAAATAAAATTTGTTACTTTTAACAATCTTAAGTAGTCAGGAGGGGCTAGAGAGATGACTCAGCTGTTAAGAGCACTGGCTGTTCTTGCAGAAGATGTGGGTTTGAATCCCAGCACTCACATGGCAGCTAACATGGTTTCTGTGGGCATTGCATGGGGTGCACTTACATGCAGGCATAGCACTCATACACATTAAATAAATAAAAAGTAAAAAAGCTGGGCGTTGTGGTGCACACCTTTACTCCCAGCATTTGGGAGGCAGAGGCAGGTGGATCTGTGTGAGTTTGAGGCCAGCCTGGTCTACATAGTGAGTTCCAGGCCAGCTGGAGCTACAGGGAGACCCTGCCTCAAAATACATACATACATACATACATACATAAATAAATAAATAAATAAATAAATTTATTGTAGAAAATAACAAATTTACACCCCTCAAATGTATACACACATAATAGACACATTTTTTTCTAAATGAGATCAGATAGTACATACTACTAAATAATTTACTTTAGACAGTATATCATTCATAATGTTTCTACATGGAGATCAAGGTACTGGCTTTGTTGTTAGTCCCTCCTTGTATTCCATGCAAGCTGCTGAGTCCTATGTTGGCCACCACTCGACTTGCTCACCAAGAGAGACAGCCCATCCACTAAGAGTTGATTTTGCCTTCCCTTCTGCCAGGATCCCAGATCCCTCGAACCTGGGTGGGCATAGACTTGAAGGTACAGCTTCAGAATCCCCTGGTGCTGAGAGATGCAGACAACACGGATTGGCACCTACTTCAAGGTGACAAAGACGTCAGGGTAGAGGTGAGACACTGGACTGGATCCCTGACTCCTCCCTTCAGCCTCTTGGGGTCCCTTTCCCCAGGTTGTAGGCTAACCAGTGGCTCACATGGTGTTGGCTAGAGAGGAGATCAGGGTACATGGAATACCAAGTCCCTGTGCTGTCCCCAGGGGGTGGATATATGACTGGGAGGACCTGGGACAATCTAATAGCATCAAGAAGTCTCCAAGTCTGATGGCCAGTTCTGTGTATAGAGACATAGTCCAGATGAGGTGGCGTTGTGGGGACTCAAGGAAGGCACCTACCTGTTCCAGCTGAGAAAGACTGACCCAGAGCAGCCAGAGGAAACAGCCAACATCACCATCACTGTGCTATCGGCCAAACAGACAGAAGGTGAGTGGGGGTGGGCAGGAGATGCCTAGAACACCCTTCCAACCTCACTAATGGACCCTACAGTCTCCCCTCACAAGCTCTCCTCCCTCTAGACTACTGCCTCGCATCCTACAAGGTGGGCCGCTGTCGAGGTTCCTTCCCCCGCTGGTACTATGACCCTGCAGAACAGATCTGCAAGAGTTTCACTTATGGGGGTTGCTTAGGCAATAAGAACAACTACCTTCGGGAAGAAGAGTGCATGCTAGCCTGCAAAGATGTGCAAGGTGAGCCTTTGAGAGGCAGCTTTGGGGCTCAGGTGACCACCAGGGTGTGTGGGTGTCCCCATCATCTCAACACTGGAGCTTGGCCATATTTCCTATTACTCCTCTGTTCTCTCCCCCAGGCACCTCACCTGAAAGGCATCATCCAGGTGGGCTTTATTTCTTTTCTTTCCCTATTTCCTCCCCCCTCCCCCCTTTGGTCTACAGCCCATATCATGACCATACCCCTGACCAACTTGCCTTTGCCCAGCCCCTTCCCCTCATAGTATAAAAACCCTTTTCAACTTAGTGGCTTCCTGTCAGGATCTGCCCAGTCTATGTCTAGGAGAAATTAGAGTTGGGGAAGAATGGCCACATGGTGGGGAGGGCTACATAGATGCTGGCCCCTTGGTACCCATTCTGTGCCTGACCCTGCCTCAAACCCCACTCAGTGTGCTCTGGCAGCTGCCATGCCACTCAGTTCCGCTGCAGCAATGGCTGCTGTATTGACGGCTTCCTAGAGTGTGACGACACCCCAGACTGCCCTGATGGCTCTGATGAGGCCACCTGTGAGAAATGTGAGGCCTGTGGGTTGGAGAAAGGGTGGGGGGCAGGTAGGGAGGTGCTGGTGGCTCTCCCTTGTGCCTTGGGTACCCACATTGGGCCCAAGCCTCTCACCTTCCATCTCCACAGATACCAGTGGCTTTGATGAGCTCCAGAACATCCACTTCCTCAGTGACAAAGGTGAGATCCTCCCCAGTTCCTCTGGGTTGGGGCAGATCCTGGCACTGCCATCCTCATGTTCCAACCAGCAGTGCCCAAGGTCTTTGCTATGTGTGCAGGCTGTAAGCAGATAGCCACGGGTTCCTTAGTTCTCCTGTTAAGGAGCCTGTTCTCCTGCACTCTCTTCTGTAGCCCTGTTGTTTCCCAGGTACCACTCGCCACTCATTGCCTAATTACCTGCATAACTTTAGCCTTGTCAAACACATGTTAAGGAAATTTCATAGCACTGTCATACATGGAACTCTTCATCCTGACTTGCTACAGATTGAATAATGATAAAGAAAGGCAATAAGGGCTGAGGTTGTAGCTCAGAAGAGCTCCTGCCTGGCATTGAGAGGACCTGTGTTTGATTCCAAGCCTTGAAAAAAAACAAACAAAAAGCAATGGGGCTGGAGAGATGGCTCAGCAGTGAAGAACACTGGCTGTTCTTGCAGAAGACCTGGGTTGGCATCCCAGCACCCACATGGCATCTAACAACTGTCTGTAACTCCAGTCCCAGGGGATCAGACAGTCTCTTCTGTCCTCGGGCATTGCAGGACCTGGGTGTACTTACCTACATGCAGGCAATACACGCATACACATAAAATAAAAAAAAACAAAAAAAAAACCAAACTATGCAAACATAATATGTGCTAAAAATAAGGATATTAGTTTAAGAACAGTGGCTTATGCCTATAATCCCAGCACTCAGGAAGTAGAGGATGGAGGATCTGAAGTTCAAGGTCAACTTCAACTTCTTTTTTTTTTTTTTGGTCTCTTTAAGGCAGGGTCTCCTTGTAGCCCCAGCTGGTCTGGAACTCACTAGATCAGTATGGCTTTGAACTCACAGAGATCCCTGTCTCCCAAGTGCTGGGATTAAAGGCATGGACTACCATGCCCAGCTCAAGGTCAACTTCTGCTGTGTAAAGAGTTCGAAGCCAGCCTGGGACACATGAGAGCCTGCCTCGAAAAATAATTTCTTCTGGGGCTGGAGAGGTAGCTCAGTGGTTAAGAACACTGACTGCTCTTGCAGAGGACCTGTGTGTGGTTCTCAGCACCCACATAGTGGCTCACAACTGCCTGTAACTCCAGTTCCAGTGGATCTAATGCTCTCTTCTGGCCTCCACAGGTACCAGACATGCATGTAGTGCACATACATGTATCCATGCAGCCTAACACTCATACATATAAAACACAAATTTTCAAAATTTTTTTCATAAAAATATTTCTTATTAGCAGGCATGGTGGTATACGCCTTTAGTCCCAGCACTCGGGAGGCAGAGGCAGGCAGATTTCTCTGAGTTCAAGGCCTGCTTGGTCTACATTGTTCCTGGTCAGCTGGGGCTACAGAGAGACCCTGTCTCAAAAAGAACAAAAAAAATTTTCATTTTAAACTGAATTGCTTGCCTAAGGTCTATCCCCTTTGTTAAAAATGTAAATCAGGTGCTGGTTGTGGTGGCGCACGCCTTTAATCCCAGCACTTGGGAGGCAGAGGCAGGGGATCTCTGTGAGTTCAAGGCCAGCCTGGTCTACATAGTGAGTTCCAGGACAGCTGGGGCTGCAGGGAGACCCTGCCTCAAAAAGACTAAAAAAAATGTAAATCAGGGGCTGGAGAGATAGCTCAGTGGTTATGAGCACTGACTGCTCTTGTAGAGGACCAGGGTTCAATTCCCAGCACCCACATAGTGGCTAACAACCGCCTGTAACTCCAGTTCTAGGGAATCTAACACCTTCTGACCTCTGAGGGCACTGTACAACATGGGTGCACTTACATGCAGGCAATACACATAAACATAAAAAAATTAAATAAAAATTTTAAAAAATGTAAATCACTTAGTGGTAGTAACCAAGAGACCTTTGCATAGAAAAGTTAAATTGCAAAAGAAAACTAGGGTTGGCAAGATGGCTCAGTGGGTAAACCTTGCTGTTAAACCTGATGACCTGAGTTCAGTTCCTAGGACCTACATGTCGAAAGGGGAGAACTGATTCCCACAAGTTGTCCTTTCACCTCCACATGCATATGCATGCTACAGCACATGCACGGAAGGAAGGAGAGGGGTGTGTGCCTCACTATGTAACCCTGGCTGACCTTGAACCATACAAGGGAGGAAGGAGGAAAGGGAAGGAAAGAGAAGGTCTCACTGTGAAGCACTGGTTGACCTCAAACTCACGGAGATCCACCTGCCCTTGCTTTCTGAGTGTTTGGATTAAAGGCATAGGTCACCATACCTGGCCCAATAAAATTTTTTGGAAAATGTTAGTTCAAGTTGTTCCCTTGGTGCCCAAGATGGTTGCCCAGAATTTGTTTTCCTTGCCTTTGGCAGTGCTATAGATAGGCCTTCACTAAGCCACAGCTGCTCACAGCCTGGGGTTGGAGAGGTGGGGCAGGAGCTGGTGAGCTGTAGTCACATGGGGTCTGAAGGGTGGTGGCACGGAGGCCCCATGGACTCACCCCTTTGCATGCTCCCTTACCCCAGGATACTGTGCAGAACTACCAGACACAGGACTCTGCAAGGAGAATATCCCACGCTGGTATTACAACCCATTCAGTGAACGCTGTGCCCGCTTTACCTATGGTGGTTGTTACGGCAACAAGAACAACTTTGAAGAGGAGCAGCAGTGTCTTGAGTCCTGTCATGGAATCTCCAGTGAGTGGAGTGGCAGCTGCAGCCTGAAGGGGAGGAGTGAGTTAGTATACTGCTGTCCCCAAGGCCTGTGATGGCAGTAGGAGAGGATGACAGGGTTGCGGCACTGGGAGCTACTGAGTCTAAGGACTCTTAGTACTGACTGCTTTCTCCTTACATCACTTTGCAGAGAAGGATGTGTTTGGTCTGCGGAGGGAAAGCTCCGTTCCCAACGTAGGTAAGCCCTGATCTGTCCTGCCACCAGCATGTTACATAGGTGTGAACATAGGGAATCAGCACACATGATTACTTGAGGCCACCTAAACTGCCGAAAAGGATCCTGATGTTACCATAGGGCCAGAGTGCCACTATTAAATAGTGAGGCTTGGCATAAGCGAGGGAGGGAGGTACAGTGAATTGCATTCCAGTTGTCTGCCATCAGAGTCCCTCTGGGCTCCTGGATGCAGCTGTACTAGAGGTCTGAATTGGGTGCCCATCTGCTTCTACACCTGGCATCCGCTTGTCTGTGCCGATTTTGTAGAGTGAAGGTCAATGTCAGAACCTCGTAGGCCTGGGACCACCTCATTCTGTCCCTTCTTCCCCCAGGCTCTGTGGAGGTGGCCATTGCTGTCCTCTT